GGTTTAATGCATTTATTTTTACATGTAACAACGGACTTTCATGTCGCCGATTTTTTTTTTTTATGTGTTATTGTGTAGTATTTGGTTTCATTGATTATTCAACAAGGTGCAGCTGTGTACGTTCATGATTAAGTCATATTGTGTCCATTTCTTTACAGATACTCTGATCTCCATCTGATTACGCCACTTGCTTTTGGATATTCCGGAAATCGTTACTGGTAAGTTTACTTTTCCCTTCTTTGTATCACCCACCTGGCCAAACGACCTTATTTATTTCGATAAGGGCGTAATACCATTACAATATAAAACGGAAAAAAAATCCCATTGGTATCGTGGTTTTTATTCAGAATCGTAGCTGTCGATATTCGTATTTTTGCTATCGGTTTATATATATAAATGTGTATATATAATACAGAGGAGAAAACACTTCTTCACAAATGCTTTAATCCGTACAGTGTTTTTATGAGAGAATCGTGCTCGAGGTGGGTACAGTCGTCGACAATGTTCAAGTGGGCCGCCCATGGTCGAGAAGACAATGGGTTGTCTTCAGCAGGTGCAACTCTTTGACAGTGCATTATATTATTATAGATTTTTGTAAAGTAACGGGGGAGGTGGGATATGGTCGTTTGTACAGGTACTTGTCTGGGACGGGTGTCTGTTAGAGCACGTTTGGCGATAAACATGACGACAGTATTCCCCCCTGCCATACAGAATGTTTCTGTCCCCGCATGCTGGGTGGTTAGAGGGTGCAACTCGTGGGCCTACTTATTTACCCTCCCAAGGTGTTTTTTTTTCGTTGTTTTTTTGTTGTTCTGTTCTTTTGATTTTTTTGTTTGTTTTTAGAATGTGGGTGGTTGGCGGGTGCTCTAGCGTAGTTTGCTTCTTTTTTCCTATCAAACGTCTATCGTCTTTATTTTCCTTCCTTCTTTTTTGTGTTTGTTACTCTCTTTTAACACCTCTAATCTTCGGCACTTATTTGACCTGATTGTGTTGCAAGTGCCTTAAAACTCTTTCTGAAACTAAAAGTTTTTAGGACGGGGCTGGGTCTATTCTGTCTTCCCCTTTTCTTGCCACAGGCAACAGCGTCTATGATGTGACTATTAGGCGCTTTGTCGTCTCTCGGGAAACTTTGGTTCGATTTCCGAGTGTGGGTGGTTGGCGGGTGCTCTGGTGTGGTTTGTTTCTTCTTTCCTTTCAAACATCTATCGTCTTTATTTATCTCCCCCTTCTTTTTTATGTTTGTTACTCTCTTGTAACACGTCTAGTCTTCGGCACATATATGACCTGATTGTGTTGCCAGTGCCGTAAAACACTTGCTAAAACAAAAACGATTTCCGAGTAGGTCGAAGCCTGTCTAAATGATCTAAAACACCTTCATTTAATATTTTATGTTTCCTTTTTTTGCCCTTTGGTGGTTCGTTTTTGTGTCGATTTGCTTTTAGCACATCGTGAAATTGGGTGAAATTGGGTGAAATTGGGTGAAATTGGGTGGAATTGGGTGAAATTGGGTGGAATTGGGTGGAATTGGGTGAAATTGGGTGGAATTGGGTGAAATTGGGTGGAATTGGGTGGAATTGGGTGAAATTGGGTGGAATTGGGTGAAATTGGGTGGAATTGGG